TCACAGACAGCATGCATAGCTTTCTGTTTCCTTTCTGTTTACAAGCCTGTAAACTAAAAGTTCTGTAATAAGCAGGTGGTGATTAAAACTGAATAAAAGTTTTGAGAATGTGGCCAATCAGGCAAAATTGTAGACAATTCTATTTCAATTTCACTAACACACACAAAAAGGCTTGATTCAGGGCGCAAGCTTCCCTTCTTCAATGACTCACCATACTGCTGGGGGCAATAAAGGGAAAGCAAAAACATACACAAAACTTCCATAAGCAGAAGAAATCAAAATATGACTAACTTCAAATTTAAAGGAAAAGAAGCAGGATGCCTTTGAGGAAGGGGCATACAGAACGGCTTGTTATATATTATTATATCACATTCAGCTTTGTATAGCTTCAAAATGCCTTTAAAGCCTGAACAGATATTTTTTTAAAAAATTCAAAACGCTGAAGATGGTTCCGTCTTTTCGGGTTAAGTAACAGAGGTTATAAAAATAACAACCCGCACTGTGATGGAACCAGTTACAAAGAACAAGCCAGGTCGAGCAAAAAACGAGATTTGAACCCTAGTATAGGAAGCCTGACCACTATATAGGAAGAAGGCCTCACACGACGCCTTGGACAGATAAGGGGACTGCACCTGTATGACTTGTCCTGCAAGGGAAGAAGCGTCACATCAGGGTTGTTTACATCTGACGGAGCTGCTCCACCTGACATTTACTCCTCACCTACGGACAAATTCTCGACTGAGCTCCATTTCGCGGGGTAACTTCCCTAGTCAGGAGTTTGAGGGTCTCGGGAGAACAAGCTGGGCCTGGCAAAGTGAGTTTCCCCACCTCTCCAACTCGGCCCTCCCCACTTCTCCAACTACTCGTCGCCGTGGTCCCATCCCGTCCCACTCCTCCCAGCGGTGTACCAGTTCGTCATGTCCAGGAAGAAGGCGCAGCCAGCCGGGCTGAGTTGAAAGCCAAGGAGCCGCTGAAATTCGCCAATGAGCACGTCCTTGTCGGTGGTTCCCAGACAGCTGAACTTCTGCATCAGCTCGGCGTCCAGATCCACGTCCATCCCCTCCATGGCGGCGCGACCTCTTCTTCCCGCGCCAGCCCGGCCCCTTCCACTAGGCCCCGGGCTGCCCGTGAGCCGCCGCTGCCGCCTGCTCAAAGCTGCATGGGGGAGGGGGGGAGGGAGAACGAGCGAGTGAGCGAACAGCACGCAAAGCACGCCGACGCCGTGGCGTAACGTCAGCACGTACCGTGATTTCACAAACATGATGACGTCAGCCTCGAGGGATCAAAATACAAATCTTTCAGTCTAAGAAAAACATAGTTAAGCACTAAATGAGCTGATCTTAGAGCAGAGGTCTCCCACTTTGGCAACTTTAAGGCTTGCGGACTTCAACCCCCAGAATTCTCAGCAAAGTTGGCTGAGGAATTCTGGGGGTGGAAGTCCGCAAGTCTTAAAGTTGCCAAGGTGGGAGACCCCTGTCTTAGAGCGATTTTTTTTTCCACGCGGGGTCTCAGTCTCAGGTGACAATCCACGACTGAAGTTACGTGGGCTCGGAAGTGGGGCTGAGTCAGGGCTGGAGACTCGACGGAGAAATTCAAACGATTCCTTGGAAAGGGACAGTGGTAAACTTACTTCCCTTTTGCTGCCTCCAAGACCGGAGTTCACAATGGAGCCGAGTTCTGCTCAAAAGAGACTTTATAATAAACATTTGAGCTGCAATAGTAACCTTAGATCGCACTGAGCCTTGCCCGTCTTTGTTTGGGGACTTTCTTGGAATCCCATGGGATTTCTAACTTCCGTGTGTATGAAGGTCATTAAAGTATTTGTTGCTCTATTGTTTTTGTATTGTTTTTTCCCCCCGTTTGGACAGGAAGGACATTTAACTCAGTGAATCAGTCGCGTGCAAATAAGAGGAAATTAGTTGATTACCATTTGCATTTCCTAAATCATATTTTATATCCTACAAATCTGATTTTCCATAAAGAAGGGATTCAAAACACATAACTCTTAGACCATTGTTATAGTTCTTATTTGCGATGTATATTATAGGTTATCTCCATTGCCCATCTTTCAGATAACCCCACCTTTCTGTGTTTTGCCTGAAATCTGGAAGGGACTAACTATGTTAACGTTTGCTTCCGGACTTTTGACATAGAAATGGAAGGCTAACAACAACTTTATTTAATTTTATGGGCTTTTTCTTCCTCTCCATCCCCCTTTTAACTGAGCCACTGGATTTTTTGTTGTTATGGTCATCATTAAAAAAGAATGGGATACAATTATCACAAAGATGGCTAAGAAACTGGTTCAGATGACTTGCACCTTATGAAATGAGTTGCATTTTGTGTTTCATGGCAGATATAAAAAAACTGAATAGTTTATTACAGGCAAAGGAATATTCATGTTTTGCATTTGAGGAAATGAGACAACAAATAATTGATAATGATTTTTTAAGTTTTAATTTTATTTTCTATAAATTTAAGAGTAACCATTGCCAATATTTAGCAAGCTGTCTATAAAACCTACTTCTACATCTGTTTTACTGCCCACTCAAATTGTATTGGTTATTAATAAGGCTGTTTGTTTTTATTTTCTAACTCTGAGATAGAAAAATAAAATACCCATTTAGAACTTATACTAATTGATGAAATTGAAACTGAAATAAGCTCCATTAAATTTAGTGAAGCTTTTAAATCCCAAATAAATGTGAATGTTTAGCAAGAATCTAGTACTTAGTTTATTATAATCTATGATTAAATAATTATGTGAATGAACAATTGTGATCAGCAATTTTGGAAGTTTATATTTTAAGTATGGAGCTCTCAATTTTAATGATCAAATGTAATTTGCTGTATTTATTAGTTATGTATGACTAATATCCACAAACCACTTAGAGACTATTGGAATTCAAGCAGTGGATAAATTGTATAAAGAAAACATATACCATGTTAAATATTCCAAAATAATTCTTCTACTTGGCTAAGCTGCCAACATTAAATACATGATTAATAAAAAGTTCATTCCCTGTATTTTATACAAGATAGGTACTTCATATCTGCATTACTATTTGACTAGAATTCTAGATACATATATATTTGTATCCTATATATTATATTCCACTATTTATTTCATTGAACCCACACTAATAGACTCTAAGTGGCTTACAAAATCTAATGCAAGGTTAACTAAAACAGATAGTATAAAGCATGATGCAACCCTCCCTCCCTCAACACATTTACTCTACACCAGGGCTGTCAAATTCCCAGCCACGCCCACACCTGGTTTAGCAAAGGGGGGAAAAAAGACCCAATATGTCATTTTACACCACCGTGGTGTGAGTTTGACACTTATGCTCTACTACACCAAGGAACAAAACCAAATTTTAAGGGCTTTTCCGAACCCCAGAATAGGCACCATCAGAATTTCTGGAGGGATGATTCCAAGGGGTGGAACAGCACACTTCCTAAGGCACACTTGCTAAGTCCTGAGAGTAACATTTAATAGAACAGACAGTGCATATCCACTCTGCCCAAATGTATGGAAGAGTTATAAAGATTAACAACCTACCACCTTAAAGCCAATTGATAGCAAATGGAACTGCTATTTAGCAGCAGTTACACATGAACAGAAGTAGTGAGTATTCCTACTAGCACTGCCACATTTTGAACCTTCTGTAACTTCCGGATGGTCTTCAAATGTAGCCATGTGTATAGCACATTGCAAATACAAATATTATAAGAATTATAACTATGTTAACTAATCCCAAGTCAACTAACTGAGGTAAGAAGGGGGGAACTGACCCGATTGCCTACTGTCTGGTCGAAACATTGAGATATGATTGTGGGAAAATGCAGTCATATAAGTAATTTTCATTCATGATTGGGAGGAAAGCATAAGAAACAGCCCTAAGATTGGCTAGCTGAAAAGGCAGTATTTTGCCAATTATTTCAAAAATCCCTACATGGATAGTAAGACTTATGGAAGATTTAGGATTTGTTCTACTCTCCTCCTAGTATTGTGCAACCGTCATATTTAGTTCATCAGGCTGCTGCAAATTTTTCAGAAATATGAAATATTAGAGCAGTTCTTGAAGTTTTTGGTTGTTAATACTTTAATCCATTCTATTTCTGATGAATTCAGCTAGTTTGATTCACTCGGAAACTGATACGGCTAGTTGTTCTGTTCTGAATGACTTCCAGTGTTAATTTTAAAGTATATTACTGAAAGAAATATAGCTTGCTTGGTTCAGCTTTTGTTCCTTTTTTTAATCTACCAGTGAGTTGTACACACTAATTGATGACATTGCTTATTTCAGCTGTCTCACTTTTACCCACCATATGGGTTAAAGTTAAGATCATCAATCAACAGTTTACAGTTGCCTATGCAAATTTATGTTCCCATACTGTAATCCAACTAGGATATTGCACCAATCAATATGTCTATTACTGGCAAAATCCTTTAAACAATTGTGGTAGGGGGGAAAAGAGCAAGAGCTGTTGCTTCTATAATTAGGAAAATATTTACATCACCCAGTACAAATTGATTGATCTATGAACAACCTATCTGATACAAGTTCTGAATCTCAAAACCCTATTATATAAATACTACAGTTCTTTCCTCCGTAATCCCTTCCCGCCCCATTCCTTTATACTGTGAACTATAACCAGCTGTACCCCAAAATGACTGAGCTACAATTGTCACATAATCCCGAATTACTGACTGGGAACGAAGAAAATTGAACTTCAAAACATTTATGAAAGGAAAAAAGGAACACGAAGCAGAAACGTCCGCAATCTATAAAACGTCAACATACATCACTGAGGAGGTACAACGATAGCTATAATCGCTGAGCGCTTTCGACCTGCGGTAAGATTTCCGCCACAGAGCAACCCCTTCGCGCAAGCCGACAGTCTTACCGATAGAAATGTTTGACGCTTACCGGAAGTGCTGTTTATGTAATGTAAAAAAACTACGTCGCGCAACAAAAACGTCATTTCCGAACAACGTTTTTGAGGGAGTCGGAACCGCATCGCCTGGAGTCAACATGCCGAAGTGAGTGAAGTGGGTAGATTAGGGATGAAAATGCAGGATGGCTGGGTGGGAGAATGTGTTCTGAAGAAGAAGATTCTGCAATACGAATAAGCGTCTCTTATTGCTTGGCTAAATGGATTCTTATTTGAACATCGCTTTAGTTTTTCCTCCAGTATTTGCGGTTGAAGTTTCTCCCCGCCTCTTTCTCGCTTTTTGGAAATACATTACCAGGAATATAAATTTCCTTGACTGCCAAAATGCATTGGATACTAACAGCAGCCCCCCTTCCATTTTGGCTGTTTGCTGAAATGAATTGTGTATGATTGATGTTTCCAAAATCAGGAGTTGGGTCTAAGATTGCGAGATCCTAGCTGTTAAAAACTGCTGATCCTGATATATTTTATTGTGTGATTATTTATAAAGAAACATGTGACACACGTCTTTTTTTCTCCTAATTTTATCTATTACAGAGAATTGATGGACATACAGCTTTAGTAATATATTTGAAGTAAATGCAACTGAACATTTAAGATATTTGAAGAAAAATATGCTTTTATTATGAAAGCAAAGAATTAAATTGGTTGGCTTACTGAAATATGTTAACCATTTTCTAACATTTGTTAAAGAACCTAGTAGTAATTATTCCTACTTCCTATGAATTTTGCCTTTCAGGTTTTATTGTGATTACTGTGATACTTATCTCACCCATGACTCTGTAAGTAGAAATTTTCAGTGTTATGATCAGAAATTTAACATTTTCCCATTCAATTGTTAGTTCTGATTATATTCCGTAGTTAAGCATTGGAGTTTAAAACTGATTATTTAATATATTTGTAGGCAGGTGTAAAAAGTGATGAGAATGTGTTTAGATACTCATGCTGCATCTATTTAAATATGTGTTTAATTGCAGTTATAATTAAAGCAATGAGAGAGAAATGAACTTGTGTAACATAAATGCAAATGTTAAAGGCTGTGATAATTTATTGGGAGGCTATTTTTGTAACCAGATATATGCATTGGAGATAAATTTTGGGTTTGTAATGAGTGTTTGGAGAGTAATGGGGTGTTCTTTTCTTCCAGCCGTCTGTGAGAAAAACCCATTGCAGTGGCAGGAAACATAAAGAGAATGTAAAAGATTACTATCAAAAATGGATGGAAGAACAAGCACAGAGCCTGATAGATAAAACAAGTAAGTCTTATTTCAAATATTACTTTGTATTTCTCAGGCCTGAAGTTCTGGTATGAAGTACGAACACTTTTGTTCTAATCTCATAAAATGTGGGAATAAAATTATGTAAAGTTCTTTAGGATTGTGTTTGATAGCAGATTAATTGTCCATAAACTAATGGACAATGTATGGCAGACATAAATTTGATCTATAAGGAATAGGACCAAATTAAGTGCTGGGAGAACCAGCAAAAGAAATCTAAACTTCAAAAATAGGCTGGAGCTAGTTGAGGACTGCTGAGAAATAAATATATTTATTTAATCTTTATTTACCATAAGTCTGCAGAGATTCTCAGTCATCCGGATCATGGTTGTCCCAAAGGTGCTTTTTCAGGATGCAGCAGGACTTTCTTGTTTTTCTTGGAAGACATTTCGCTTTTCATTGAAGCTTCTTCAGCTCTGACGGGATAGTGGGGAATGGAAGGATTTATATTCCTGGACAACTGGTCATTTGGATCCTTTATTTAGAAGGTCACTGACGCACTTGAAGGTTTATCTGTGTCCTCAGGGTCACCTGAGTAGTGCTCCTGGTTCCTGTAATCTACAATTTGCACCCAGCTCCAATGGACTCATTGCATCCCCATGATAAAAGAATTTGGGTAGTAACTTGGATTCTTGCCACCTCCTCCATTTAGAACCTCTCCTTGTTGGTCACATAATCCAGAACATTAAAGGGTTTGGAAAGAATTTCATAAGCCATGTGTTTACATGCTTTCTTTACCTTGTGATTAGTGTCTATAGAAAATCGATGTCTTCCTCAGCTTCCTGTACTAGAAACAGGGATTCTAAAAGTTTATAGCCTATGCTAGGTAGAAATAACTGCTATATTTTAATGTAAATTATTGAATGCATATTCTAAATTCCTAAAAGAAAACCCTTGATATAGTCAGTATTTCATAAGAAATATTTAATATTAGTATTTAATATTTAAATGGTTTTGTTTAAAATATTTAGAAAATTATTTTTAATTTGAAATTTTCTGAACACATTGGTACCTTGTTTGAGGTTTTGAAAAGCAACTCTTATTTTATTCACTTACTGCTTTCAGTTTCTTCATAAATATTTTACATGGAAGTTGATCACTGTAACTTGCTAGTAAATATATTTAGAATTTCAGACTGAGCTGGGAATAATTCTCACAGAATTTGTATCAGTGCGCAAATTGTGGAAAAAGTAGAAGCTTGGAAAAAGCATTTGTGTGTTATATGGTAATCTTATTTTTATACTTGAAAGTACATTTAAAATTGATGAAATTGGTAGAATTTGATTTTGAAATTAAATATTTTCACTAAGAAATAAATCCAGACAATTGTATACCTTAATAAGGTGGATTATTTGAAACTTTACAGAGTTGCACTGTACATGTTGTACAATAATTGCAAAAATATTTTTTCAGTATTAATATTTATATCTTTTTGCTTTTCCCATTAATACAGCGGCTGCATTTCAGCAAGGCAAAATCCCACCTACCCCGTTCTCTGCTCCACCTCCTGGAGGAGCAATGATACCACCACCACCTAATATCCGTATGTATGGATATTGTTACTCTATTTCTGGTAAATCTAGTATATAGAAATCTACAGTAAGAGAATACTATATTATTTTATTTTAATATTAGTTGTTCGTTTTAAAGAACATTGCTCCTGTTCCTAATAAGTTATGATCCAATAGGCACTTGCTATTTGTACATAAACTTTAACACAACTAAAATGTTTTGCATTTTGAGATACTGAATTGATATAAGATTGCTATTTGTTTTTTTGCTATACTTTAGCTGGTCCTCCACGGCCTGGTATGATGCCAGCACCCCATATGGGTGGACCACCAATGATGCCAATGATGGGACCACCACCTCCAGGAATGATGCCAGTTGGACCTGGTAGGTTGTAGATTGAATAAATGCTTACATCTTCCTATTCTGAAAATGTGTATGGTAAAAGACTAGCTGCTGTTATATTACATCCTTTTTGTGGAACAGCAAACCTGTATATTAAAAGATGGCTAGTGATTATCAAGGATCAAAATTTGGACTGTGCCATAGCAAGGAAAAAAATCTTTAGAAGTGGTGTATTGTGGGTTGCCACAAGAAATTCCCATGAAAAAAAACAGGACTGTGCCAGTACCACTGCAGAAGGATGACTAGAACATTTAGGGATAAAGATTTGTTACTGCAAATCTTATTGTTACTGAACAGAGAAACTCCAAGTATTTCTTTTCTATAATTTTCAGACCTCTTTACTTTGGAGTTACTTTACTAATTTCTCTCACTGATCAAATTGTGATATGTAGGTTTACAGAAGGAAGGAAACAGGCTAAAACTATATGTGAAATTTTATTTCCTTCCTTCCTTCCTTCCTCTCAATCTTGTTTTGCTGTATTTCATTTATTAGTTGGGACTCTAAAAAGGACAAGACACATTTTTGTAGTGTAGTTTTCTTGCTCTGAAGAGGTTGGATTCGTTAAAAGTTTGCAGCATAAACTCAAGTCCAGAAAACACACAGATGACTGATTCAGCAGGATCATTAACTTCTTTATAAACATAATATGAGTAAAGTTTACAATACCATTTGTAAATTCTTTCAACGTAACATAAGCAAAAACACAAGTAGCAGTAGTTCAGAGCAGAATTCAGTTTCAGCAAGCAAGCAAGTTTTTCTTTCACTTTAAAGCTGAGCACAGAACAGAGATAAACCATGTCCAGATTCTCTCTTTAAGTTTCAGCCCCAATTCAGTTCTCATTGGCTGACCTTGTTACTAAGCTCTATTCCAGTTCATGAATTATTCTGACAGGATTTTTTTCTTCATTCTTTCATGCTCTGGTTGCCTTCATTGCCAGGCCTTCCAAGCAAATAAATATGCAATAAAAGCTTTAGAAGAATTTGCTTGATTTCAAAACAATTTGGCTAGACTCCTAATATCAAAATAGAGCATATAGAAAAACCACTTGAGGCAGTTGTAGTGGAACAACTGTGTAATTTTTATTAAGAATTTTGTTTATAAAAGTATAATACAAACTAAACTTAAAAAAGAAAAGAAAAGAATAGAAAGAACAGTAAAAAATACAACAAAATGAGATGAAAGAAGTAAGAATACAATAAGAAATATATGACTTTTATCAGAACAAGTAAATAAATTATTGAATCTAGACCAGGGGCGTCAAACTCAAGCCCGTGGGCTGGATTCAGCCCGCAGGGTGTTTAGATCTGGCCCACAGGGCCATCCTGGAAACCGCAAAGGACTGGCCTGGGGTGTCTCTGTCAGTGAAAACAGAGCTTGGAAGGGGCCGCCCCTGAGCTCCGTTTTTGCTGGCAGGAGGCTGCAGGAGGCTGTCACGGCTAAAAACGACACGGATGACATCGAACTGGCCATGTCCTCCTCAACCCCCTGAGGTCAAACACAACCCTAACGTGGTTCTCAATGAAATCGAGTTTGACACCTGTGATTAAGACCCTATAAGGTTACAGACTTTTATCTCTCCATCCTATATCCTATTTCTTATCTATAAATAAATCCATTAAAATCATCTTTTCAGTCCCTATGTCAGAGGAAAGTCCACAAGGAGTTTCTAGAACAAGATATTTTGTTTTACCTTCCTTTTTCAAATAAATCAACTTTGTATTCCTTTACATCTAATAGTTTTAATCCACATAAAATTTTCTTTGAATTTGTTTTTGTGTTGCAAAATGTAAAGAAAACATAGAAAGTGCTCCACAGAAATTGAAAGATTCTTTTAATCAGAAATTAGATAAGCATTGTGACATATTGGCCTATAAATCAGTGATATGTTCTTTTATATTATGTTTTCTTTTTCCTTCATAGCTCCAGGAATGAGGCCACCTATGGGAGGACATATGCCAATGATGCCAGGACCACCAATGATGAGACCTCCATCCAGACCTATGATGGTACCAGCCAGACCAGGAATGGCTCGCCCAGACAGATAAAGTGGAATTGGACCTGCTACTCCTTTCTTTTTTCTTTTCTTTTCTTTCTTTCTTTTTGATGTATACCTTTCTGATAAGCTGTGGAAGTTGCATTGCCCAAATTATCAACATTTTTTTAAAAATTTATAATCTAAAATTGAGGGAGGGAGATGGAGCGGGGGGGCGGGGAACCATAAAATTTGGACAGAGGTTTTGTAGCATTTCCCAAATGATTTTTCATGCTTGTTGTTAAAATAAAATATTGATATTGGTTTCTCGTATTTTGTGTGCTGAAACTAGAATGATTCCATTAAAATAGTTATAATTAATGGTGGCATGCTTCTTCCCAAAAATGGCACTGCTCATGGTGGGTGATCCTTTCCATACCTTTCAAACTTGCTTAGGCACTCTATTATTAACACTTAATTCCTAGCTTGCTCTCATACTTAGTGTGCTTTTACTAGAGCAGGGCTGTCAAAGTCCTGGCCCACAGGCTGGATAGGTCATGTGCTGGCCACCCCCACACCCGGGAGAAAAAAGTCCCAATATGACGCATGACACTGCTGTGATGACATGAGTTTGACATACCTGCTCTAAAGTGATGAGGTCTAGTATTCTCTTCACCCTAGGCCTAACCACTTTGATCATTGTTCTATAACAATCTGTTTTGAGGGCTTCCTTCCTTACAGTGTTTAGAATACCATTGTGAAACTACCCCTAGTTGTGGGTGGGGTAGGAAAAAAGGAGACTAAATTAAACTTTCTACTCCTTAGTAGCAGGATTATTGTATTCTGCCAGAGAATAGTTTGCACAATTTGAAATGAGAATGATTTTGCATCTTGATACTTGTTACATTGGTGGAATGACATAGCAATGATAATCAGTATTCCAGATGGTTCTTAGTGGTAAATATTTCAGTAACTTATGCTTTATTTCTTCAGCTGTACAGAAAATATATGCATTGTTAAAATTAAACATTTTGAAAACACACAAAGTGTGCTTTAAACTACATGTCAGTGAATTAATTTTACAGCATAAGCAACCACAGAAATATATTGTAATATTTAGAGAAAGCCTTTCATAAACTTCCTCCTTCGGGATTACCACTTGATGTGGCAAAGTTAGCAGAAGCTGGCAGGAGCAGTGCCAGGATTATTGTTGCTAAGCAACACGGCCATGTGATGATATGCTTTACAACCAAATTGCTTAGTAGCAGAAATGTTGGTCTCAATTACTGCCATTAATTTAGGGCTATCTGTAATCTTATTTTACAAGAACAAATGCATTTGAAACTTGAAAAATATAAACTAATGGAAATGTGAAAACGCTAATTTCGGTGAGGCAAGGTAAACTGAAGATGTCTCTGTGAAAGCGGAGCTGACAACCACAACAAATATTGAAGAACTGGTGAATACGCCATTCTTCAGAATCTCTCTGGATAGGGAAAGTAGGAAGGTTGCCCAAATGTGATCCGGACAGCTACTCTTCATAAGGTGACTTTAGGATAATAGTCTTGCACAAGTTTGAGCATTAAGAGACAAAGAAATTGCAGCAGAACTTTTAAAGGACAGTAAGTTTGCAAGAGTTTTAGAAATTGTTAACCATCTAAAAGCTATTAGAGACCTTCGTAACTAAACGTTTGAAAAGTCACTGAGTACATTTAAATTTAACTTTGAACAAAGAAAAATTCTGTCATATAATTTCAAATATATTTTAAGCCATTGAAAGAGAGTATGTAAAATGTACATTTTAATTAAAATAAGTAAAAACATGAAAGTAATGATGAGCATACACAAACTTACATACTTGAGCATATAGTGCAAGTGGACAATGGATTTTTAAGAAGGACAGTTCTATTGGACAAGATTGGAGGAAGTAATATCTGGCTTAGGAGACTTCCATACGGCTTTCCCAGGGATGGGATGCTACCGGTTCTGCCCAGTTCTAAAGAACCGGTAGCTCTGAAGAGCAGCAGACACCGAACCGGTTCTGTGCTTGCTGCTGTTTGGCCCACCCACCCACCCGGGCTCTTACCTGTGCTTTATTTCCTGATTTTTCAACCTCAGCTGCTTTGCGCGGCACAGCTGAGGTTGAAAAAGCAGGAAAAAAGGCTTTTCAAATGCTGTACACTTGTGCACAGAGCATTACAGCTGTCCGGGTGGCACAGCTGATGGTTTTTTTTACACGCGCCCAAAGTGTTTGTCAGAGGTGCGCGAAGCGTGAACGCATGCACAAAACATAGTCAGCGAACCGGTAGTAACACCGGTTAAATCCCACCCCTGGGCTTTCCCACTGCTTAATACCGTGTTTCTTATAAAATAAGGCCGGGTCTCATTTTTTTTTTTTGAGCCCCGAAAAAATGGCTAGGACATCTTTTCGGGGGTGACTTAATTCCTTCCCCCATGCGCACCTCCACCTAGAGTGCCCCATGCGCACTCACTTCTCCATGAGGCCGCCACTGGAAGCTTCCCAAAGGTAGAGTCAACAGCTGCTTCTTTCGGCCAGTAGAAGTGGCCTCGGGGCGAGCACCCATGCGCACTCCCCTCGCCACGAAGCTGTTTCTATCAGCCGATGGAGAGTCACCTAAAGGCAGAGTCACCAGCTGCTTTTGGGGTGAGGCGTGGCTGCCGGCAGGGCGCTCCTGAGAGGAGCACCCCACGTGCACTCTCCTCGAGGCTGTTTCTATCAGCCGAAGGAAGCTCCCAAAAGGCAGAGTCACCAGATGCTTCCATCGGCCGATAGAAACAGCTTTGTGGTGAGGGGAAAGTGCGTGGGAGAGTGGCTGCAAACTTTTCTTAGCAGAAGGGAAGCAAGCTGAGTTTCTCTCTCTCTCTCTCTCTCTCTCTCTCTCTCTCTCTCTCTCTCTCT